GAAGGTTATATAAGATTCGTCTCTGACAAGTTCCCAGAAAAATAAAATTCCATCGGAGTGAAATTGCATCTCCTAAACGGCCAATTTACATCGAAATTTCGGCAGATTATGCGATTTTCCAAAATAGTAATCAAACGTCTATTGTAGCGCGTTAGTTGTTCGGCAATGAAATATCGAGTCCAGTGGTCATCCCATTCTCTTGCACTCATTTTCTTTGGCAGTCTTTGTCTTCGTAAACAATAAAAAATCAGTTACAATTGGACCACGTTATACATTACACCGTCAATGTCAACTTAAATTTTATTATTATATTCGGAATCTTCATAGAATAACCTTTAAAATGAGTCCAAACTCGACATATTTAACTTTAATATTAATGGAGATACAATCACTTCCGGTTTGAAATGTCAACGTCAATTTTGACATATTTGTCATCTTCATTAAGAAACCTTTAAAGTGAGTTCAAAGATGACGCACTTATCTCAAAGAACAAAAAAGTTGGAATAAAAAACATTAAATTCAAAGTTAACAACAATGAAGATAGCAATTCAATTTTTAAATATTAATACCAACCTTAATTTTTAATTTTTTTTTATTATATTTTTGTTTTCGTGACAAATTAATATTAAGACATTTTCTAAAAATTAAGAATATGTCAAAATGACGTTGACATTTCAAACCGGAAATTACTTATAATATATCTCGAGTAATATTGGAATTAAACGTATCATGTTTGGACTCATTTTAAAGGATTTTTCACAACGATTACAAATATTGTGACGTTGACATTCTTAACCGGAAGTTGACCATAACTTCATTAACATTGGAGATAAATATGTCGTGTTTGTACTCATTTTAAAGGATTTTTAATGAAGATTACAAATATGTCAAAATTGAGGTTCACATTTTAAACCTGTAGTTAGTTATCATATAATTGAAGTTTTATAACTGTAGTTAATCTAGTGTTGTCACTTCTCCGCACTTTCTTTTTATTTTTAATTTTTCTTTTTTGGATCATTTCACGTTGTTTAAAAAAATCATCGATTTTTAAGTCACATGATGATTCTTGAATTTTTCCCAAGTCTTTTGCTAGTTAGACTTAAATTCTATATAAAATAAAAACCAGTTTAAAAGTACAAAATCAAAATCTAGATTATTTTCTTTAACAATTTTTACACGAATCATCATTTTGACTCTAGTATTTATGCCACGACTTACAGAAACACCTGTATAATCGTAAAACGTACTAAGCGGCTTCTGTGCTTATAATAGCTGTCATCAGTGTTCTGTGATAAAAATAGACAGACACCAAACAATTTTCAATAGTTTGAGTCTGTCTATTCTGAGAAGTCTTATATTTTTAGAGAGATGAAAACGAAAATTGATTTTCCTCAATATTGTTCATTTGTCGCTTAGCCAATTAATCCAATTAAAACATGGCACGATAATGCTTATCATTTATTGTTAGTGCTCATTTTCAAAACGAAAATCTCTAAGATGCCTTTAGATCATATTCCACACCATAAAGTAATTCGCTTTGGCTTCCAATGTTAGGGGTGAATTTTCTATGCCCCAAATGCGGCACAGAATAATTTTGCTTGCTCACGTAACATCCAAGATAAGAATGAACTTCGTCTGAAAAGGTAATTTTTTGGTAAAGATCTTCCAACTGATTATTACACCATTCAACGAAGCGAACGCACGATAATATTCAGGCACACATAGACATACGTTCGTTTGGGTTCGCTTCGTTTCGGATTGTTGGGGTTTAGTTCAACTGGCAAAATAAGAAAGAAAAAAAACTTTAAGATGCTTGTAGTACTGTATTAGGTTCATCCCTTAAATAATAGTTTGTAAAAGTGGTAATTTCTCCCCACGTGTCATGTAGCCAAGATATTGCAGTTTTCTGATTTCAATTGTGTCGACAATTTCTCTTTCTCCAATCTTCCTAATATCTCCGCGTTTATTGTTCTGCTCACTCAGCTTATTCTCAGGATTCTTCTATAACATCACATCTCAAAGGCTTCAAACTTCAATATCGTCGGCTATAGTTGTTGTTCCAGATTGTTTCCTCATTTTGTTGAATACAGTTCTAGCCTGTCCAATTCTTGATCTTATTTCTTCCGTATATTGGTGTTGTTGTAACTTTGAGATAATCATAAATTTGTTGTTTTAGCATTCAGAGATTTGTTTTCACTTTTTTTCGTTACCGAATTCGTTACTCTTCGCAATCCTACTAAGAATACTGCTATAAGTTGTTGATTTCCTCCCCGTTTACTTTCACTTCAGTTGTTGTTCGCTCTACCAATGCTTCTTGTATGATGTCTTTTGAGTACAAGTTAAAAAGCAATAGTGACACATTCTTGCCTTCATCGTAATCGCCTTCTCTTGTATTCGTTTTCTTTGGCAGTAGAATGAATGTCGACTTGAGTCATTCCTTAGATTTGATTCCAGTGGTAAACCAAAACACCTATTTGCTCATCTCCAATTAATTTAATAATTTCAGCTGCGACCTCGTCGCGTCGAGGCCTGAACATCTTCCTTCTTTATTTTTGGTTCTTCATCGCTGTAGATATTATCGTCAAGTGGTTCCTGTTGTCTCTTATCTTAAAACAGTTCCTAGATGACCACCTTTCTAGATTTCCCTTTGTGTTATCATCCTTGTTTAGTAAAATACTGCTTCTGTTTGTTTTTTTAATTCCCGACAATTTCTTAATCTTTTTATGAAGACTGAAGTCATCATACCTCGGCTGTAATACCTCTCTTTCCATACATTTCTCTCTGTGTCATTGTTCTTTGACTACTTGTATTTTCCATCAGTTGCATAATTTCTCCATTTATCCCTGACTCCTTACTCTTTTTTCGCTCCACTTCCTTCTCGCCTATCTCCAACAATTTTCTTGTCGAAACCATTATTGCAATTTTGATTGCCTCAATTTTGACTTCAGGTCTAAAGTAAGTCTACCTAATGTATTTTTACTTGCAAATATAATAATCGTCCATACTAGATGCCTCTATGGGATCAGTAATATTATTTCTGTTCTTACACTGTCAAATGCTTTTTCAACGTCCACAAATAACATGATCATTGGAAAAGGCATTGCTGTATTCTCTTTGTGATTATGGACCTTATGGACATTAATATTTTGTACGTCACTGTAAATAAGCTTGATCTGTAATTACTTATTTGCTATCTACCGCCTCAGGTATCATATTTTATTTCAAATATGTAGTTTTTAAACACTTCTTTCAATATTATTACCACATAGTTTCCTCCTGCTTTAATTCCTTCATTTCACATCCCATCTACACCTGCACTTTTTCCTTTCTTGTGTGTTAATTAATTATCGTGCCCGACGTCATCATTACATGTATGCAACCAATATCACAGTACAATACGCATCATACGCAAATCGCGTATTGCAATAAAAATACTGTGATATTGGTTGCATACTTGCAATGATGACGTCGGGTACGATAATTAATTAACACGCTGTACGTTTTGTATGTTTTCTATCTTGTTTATTATGAAGAAGTCAATTTCGTACTTTGTATGGTCATCATGACTAATTCATTAAAACCTCAAAGTGTTATGATTAATCCAGTTCGCATTATGTTTGAAAACTATTTTTGACCAGAATTAGTTGCCATACACTTGCTCAAACAATTGATCTATTGAAGAGGAAGACTTCTTATATAACTATGCTGATGATTTATCACTTTGTACACGTTTTGACTTAAACTGGGATCTTATTCGTGATTTTATCTCATTTATCTATCTTGTATTTAGCTAATTACAAATCAAACGGGTTGATGAGACTCACGTAATATATTTCTTCTATGAACCTTTTTAGAATATCGGTCACTATTTAAATTCCGTTTAGAACACACTCAAGATATCACTTCGCCTCGAACTCAACCTTTGGGATTAAAATCGGGAGAATAGATGGTTCCAAAAGAGAACGCCAAACGAAAATTTCTTCTCCATTGGGAGCAACACCACCAAACTGAAATATATGCAATATCCTTTTGTTTTTTGGATAATCTTCGGAGTAAAACCTTTTCAAGCACTTTGAAAGCTAGTTGTAATATTTTGGTAATTAACTTTTGTTAATTAAGTCCCAACGTAGTTTATCTTTGGCACCGAGTCATAATAAAAAGATACTTTGTGGTTATTACACAATCAAGCAGTAACTCGAACTTAAAAACGCGGGGGGTTAATAACCGGTCATTGTTCTTTCAAAAAAGACTTTCAAGTAATAAAACGTCGCACTCAAGACTTTTTGGCGGGGAATACAAAGTCACTTTTGAGTGCAATTCTAAAGAAGTAAGTTGTACTCAAACAATAAAACGGTGTCTTCATAAAAATTTACCCTCAATTTTGCAGTTATATTATCTTTTTCTTTATTCCCCTCAGTTAAACAACGAACTCAATCTTTTACTGTGTTACCTTATGTTTTTATTTCATTTACCATGTTAGTTTAAGTTAACACAAACTGTTTAAATAGACCCCGTCAACAAACACAACATCAAATACAGATGTCAACTAATAAATTAATATTCAACGCAATATATTACGAAACGATTAAATCCATATTTAGATTCATCAAAATCGTTTAGTTTCACAATTTGAATAGAACAAATGTTTTCAGTTAAAATTGAGCGATTTTTATGTTGAAAATGCAACAAAACGCAATTACGCTGTGAAATTGATGAATACAATTAAAGTTTAAAATGGATGATGTTGTAATTTACTACTAATTAATATTAAATTAAAAAGGGGGTTTATTTAGTTTGTAAATAAATAATTAGATTAAAACAATTTTTTTTGTTGTGGTGTTTTATGAGGTGACACTTGTTGTGCTCACTCCCATCTCATTAATTATTTTTAATTTTATTCCATGAATTAAAAAAAAAAATAATTTGTCATTTTGTTTATGTTGAATAAATCAAAATGATTATTACATTCCATTGTGGTGAGACAAATAAAATTTTCTTACCTTACATTCCACGGTTAGCAAAACGATCCGTAGCAAAGCGCCACCTTTGTACGACTGTTTAAACCGCCGGGGGCAGAGCTTTCAAGCGCAGCTTTCGCACCGTAGTTACTAAATAGTAGTAGGAGAATAACTGAAAGCTCCGAAGTGAACCGATCGTGTCGACGGATTCGCGCGAACTGAGCTTCTGACCGAGCTTCTCGCTCGCTCGCATAATTGTGTATGGATTTATGATAGAGGCACGGTAGTAGGCGCCGGCGAACGGATGAATAAAAGCGAAACGGCGTTGTTCAGGTGTTCTTCAGCGCTTGCGCTTCCAAAACCTCCATTGATTCGACGCAACTTTTCTTTTTTTCAAATCAAAAAACTTTATTTCTTAACTAATATATATAAATATTCTTTGAAGAAATTTTTAAAGTCATATTTTTTTTGCGTCTCTAACATGGTTGATGGACGTTGAAAAGCACTAAACCCACTCCTTCATTCCTTGTTCACTTGGGATAAGTTAAATTGAAACGTCGCATGTGACGTGTTAGAAGTAGGTATTTTCAGAGGGTGTTTGCGATGGGAAAATATGGTGGCGGCGCCGGTAAATAAGGTTTTTGTTTGGATACTGACGAAATTTCGACGTAAATTTACTTACTACACTTCGGTGATCTAGTCGTTTTCCTTCTTTCGTTGCTAAATTAAAAAAATGTTTAATTTGATTCATTCATTTTATTTTATAGATAAAAGACATGCATAAAAAAAAGTCCGAGAATTTTGGAGTATCATGTCAAAACGTTCTCGAAGCAAAAACCGTGTCGACTTTCCCAACATGTAAACCTATTGGATTGTATAATCTGATCTTGTAAACGGAGCACGAAAAATTTATCTTTTTCTCATCGCGAGCTGTTGCTTTTACGTTGAGAGGCGGGAGCTTTTTCATTCTCTCTCGTGTTCTTTTTTTCCGGTCTTTTGATGCCGAAGAAAAAGCATTGATTAAAGGGGAAGTTAAAAAGTAGTAGTTCGTTAAAAAAGGGTTAATCATTATAAATCAACAGCCATTATTGAATTTTTATTAAAATAACAAGAAATTTTGAACATAATCCACTTTTATGCAGTAATTGGAGATAATATGAGATGTGAGTGACAAGAAGAAAATGAATGCATAATATATTTATGCCAAGGATAATATTGCTGAATATAAGAGGCCTTTCAAAAAACAAGCAAGGGTAACTTTATTACTCACGATGTAGTATAACAGACACTATGACACTAATAAACAAGCTTTAGTAACAAAAAAAATTTTATGGATTGAACTTGATTAACAACCAAATTTTCTGCAAACAAAAGTAATTGCAAATTGATACAAATAGTAACTGAATAATGTGCTAGGAAAGAAATGTATAATAAACGTAAAGCCTAAAATTAACAATTAAAGAAGTGAAACAAATAATGATATGGAGGACCAGAATAGCGCCGTGCGGGGTAAAGAATGTTTGATTATCGCAAAGAAACTTAAATTTAAATCAAAAAGTGCTGCAAAAATACAGTTGAATCAAAATCACTACATATTCTGGTGTTCAAATACCCCAGGAATATTTTGAAGACATTTAACCGTATCAAACAGGGCCGGATCACACCTTTCGTGGGCCCGAAGCGCTCTATATTTTTGGGCCCCAAAAAAGTCTAATATTACTCTCCAGAATTTTCGATCATATAATTGTCAAGAAGACAAATTCAAAATTTTCTGTTTTTAAGAAAAGTTGAAGCTTCAATTTGCTACAACTTTTGTTGTAAAAGTTTTTTTGTATCATGCTCCGGATACTGATTTTTTTAACACTCTTTTAATTTTCATATTTTTGAAAAATTCTCTACATTGATGAATCTGGGAGCAAAAATGTTACAGGGCATTGTGTTAAGGGTACAATTTGCTACAACTTTTGTTGTAAAACAGTTCCTAGATTAATATCTTCCACCTTTCTAGATTTCCCTTTGTGTCTAAGATTATCTTACCATCCTTATTTAGTAAAATACTGCTTCTGTTTGTTTTTTTAATTCCCGCCAATTTCTTAATCTTTTTATGAAGATTGAAGTCATCATACCTCGGCTGTAATTCCTCTCTTTCCATACATTTCTCTCTGTGTCATTGTTCTTTGACTACTTGTATTTTCCATCCGTTGCATAATTTCTCCAGTTATCCATGACTCCTTACTCTTTTTTCGCTCCACTTCCTTCTCGCCTATCTCCAACAGTTTTCTTGTCGAAACCATTATTGCAATTTTGATTGCCTCAATTTTGACTTCAGGTCTAAAGTAAGTCTACCTAATGTATTTTTACTTGCAAATATAATAATCGTCCATACTAGATGCCTCTATGGGATCAGTAATATTATTTCTGTTCTTACACTGTCAAATGCTTTTTCAACGTCCTCAAATAACATGATCATTGGAAAGGGCATTGCTTTATTCTCTTTGTGATTATGGATCTTATGAACATTAATATTTTCTACGTCACTGTAAATAAGCTTGATCTGTAATTACTTATCTGCTATCTACCGCCTCAGGTATCATATTTTATTTCAAATATGTAGTTTTCAAACACTTCTTTCAATATTATTACCACATAGTTTCCTCCTGCTTTAATTCCTTCATTTCACATCCCATCTACACCTGCACTTTTTCCTTTCTTGTGTGTTAATTAATTATCGTACCTGACGTCATCATTACATGTATGCAACCAATATCACAGCGTAATACGCATCATACGCAAATCGCGTATTGCAATAAAAATACTGTGATATTGGTTGCATACTTGCAATGATGACGTCGGGTTCGATAATTAATTAAGACACTGTACGTTTTGTATGTTTTCTATCTTGTTTATTATGAAGAAGTCAATTTTGTACTTTGTATGGTCATCATGACTAATTCATTAAAACCTCTCCAGAATTTTCGACCATATAATTGTCAAGAAGACAAATTCAAAATTTTCTGTTTTTAAGAAAAGTTGAAGCTTCACTCTTACTATGGGTTTTTCAAATTCGTCATTTACAAATGTTGACAGTATATCACTAATAGTTTTGTAATTTACAAATAAAGCATAAACAGAATCATGACGTTGGGTTAACTTTTTGTGCTAATTTTTGCCATCTATGTGTAGACGATGAAAAAAATTATAAATACCTTGCACTATATTAAAGTAATTAGCAACTTCTAAAGACGACTCACATACAAAATTGAACACTAAATTTAATGAGCGGTTAGTACAGGATACATAAATAGCGGTAGGAGATAATATTCTTATTTTTGCCTGTAAGCCATTGTATTTTCCAGACATGTTGGCTGCATTGTCATAGCTCTGTCCGCGACAGTTTTGAATGCTGAGGCTTAATTGTTCTAATTTACTTAAAGCTGTCTCTTGTTAACAATCCGCAGTGTAATTTTCCAGTTTAATGAATCCTACGAATCGTTCTGATATTTGTCCCTCATGTACGTATCTTAAAATTAGACTAAGTTGATCACAATGACTTACGTCTGGTGTTGAATCGACGATAATGCCAAAGTATTTGGCTGCCTTAATTTCACCACTGCATGTATTTAACATTCTATCTCTAATTATTTCAATAAATTCATCACATATGTGATGAGGCAAATAACTAACAGAACCTCTTCCCTGATTTCCAAATCGACGTAAATGTTCTGCAAAAAAATCGTCGAAGTTGGCAAGGTAAACTAGGTAACTCAAATAATTGCCTTTGAAACGGCTACCTATATTTTCGTCCGAACCTCTAAATGGTAATCGTTGTCTTGAAGAAACTTTACAGTGGCTAGTATACGTTCTAAGACTTTTCGCCAGTAGAGTTCTTCAGTTTGAATTTGATTCTTTAATATAATTGACTTTATATGCACTTTAGATTCTTCATGACTTTTTAAAACTTTTTATTTTCATTTGTTTCTTCATAAATCAATTAACAAGTACAATCAAACGGGATTACTTGAAACATTTTTTTAGCAATTTTAAGAGATAAAAACCTTTACATGTTTAATTTTCTTGATTTTCTTATCGGACGAAAGCCTATGCAATATCAAACCAGAACCGGGCCCCTGTAGGTGCAGGGCCTTGAGGCCTTTACTGGTTAATCCAGCCCTGGTATCAAAGAAAAAGATGTTGATGTCCGTGATAAAAGAACAAAGCAGCCATCTCATTCAATCTAATTTGTTTTACATACACATCAGGAAAGTTAGGGTACCGAAGAGAAAAATAATTGATTACTGCAAAAAAAAGGCAGAAATGTACTGGCGGCAGAAAAGACGAAAAATACGACGCAGAAATAAGGAAGGAAGCATAAGTACAACTTATTACTACGAACATGGATACTTCTACGTACATCTCCGGAACATTGGAGTGATGAGGAACCTTATTAACTCCCTTTAAGTGCTATATTTTGATGCCAAACAAGGTGCTGTGAAAGAAGTTATAAGTTTTGGAATAATCATAACCCGCCCTTGAAATGCATCCTTTACAGAGAAATGTTTAATTTAACTTTTTAACATTTTAACACTATCTTTAGAATTACCTTTTCAATATATGCATATTACCATTTATTTTACTATGTACGGAAGAATAGCTTCTTTTAATTTCTTCTTGGAATAATTTTTACATTTTCTTATCCTAGTTTTATTTAATTTTATTATTTCTCTATTCATCCCTCGGTCTATTCTATAGAGTTATACAGGGTGATTTATAACATACGAAGCAGACTAAAAGGGTAGGTACTAGGAGCCTCATACATGAAAAGCACATTTGGCAACATAGTAGAACAACATTTTAACATTAAGATTTTCGATTCAAAATCGGTCGTAGAATGTCGCTACGTCTAGATTATCCGCCAATTTCTGAACAACCTGTTAAATAATAAAGTTTGTAAATTGTGTTCGTCTTCGGCTATTAAGGCAGATTATTTTGATTTATTATCACCAGCAGTCTTGACATTCTTGATAATTTCATCCATGATGTCGTTGAATGTCTTATACCCAACAGTACTGGCATTTTCTTTGTTAGTCTTTAGTAATTCTGTGATATTTGCTGTATCGCGTCGGTCTACATTTCTCCTCTTGGGTGAGATCTATGATGGACATAGAAGCTGTTTCGCCAAATTCTATCAACTGTTGACCTAATTTGTCACAAACCTTGTTGTTCTTCACTAATTCATGTGTATGC